AATACTAGGAGGAAGAAATAATATATATATATATATATATATATATAATGTACTTTTTAACATTAGTTTAAAATTAACTTAAAATTATTATATTATTTGATTAAGATTACTCCGAATATGTGAAATGACAATTTAACTTTAGTAGAGAGCTATATTGCAATTGGGATGACCCGATGTACAAGGATGATGTTTAGGATTCCAAAATTAATATTATGCTGGCGATTTGTTTAATGAAGAAAATCTTATCAATATATTCCCTATTGTACATGCATATTATTATTTATTTCCCAAGACTGGAGAGAGATATACATAAAAGAAATGTATATATTATATAAATTAACATAGTTAAATTAATATAGTTTGTATTTTTGCAATTTATGCTGTTTATCCAATTGCCTGCGATGTTCTATACAATTTTTAATTATTATATTACGTGAGATGCGGTTCATGGAAAATTATACCAGAGATGGATTTCTTCCTTGATTTTGTCACCGCCTTCCGAGTAGATATCATTAATCAGATTTTCGGTGCAAATTAGATTTTTTTAATATATTTCCCTTAGATTTATATCACCATCAAATTATGATAATTTCCTGAATTTTATATTCGGTAAACAATAATCGACTGCTTATATACGGTGAGTAAACGAACGATCAATTCATTACTTAACTCCGTTCCAGCTTATCGCATTACCTCCCCTTCGCTTTCCTCTATCACGGAAAATTATTCGCACCCCTAAAACAATCTCTAAACAATCCAAATTAATTCGAGCGGACGCGCGCGATGATCGCGTTTTCTGTTCGCGGATAAATCGGAGGGGGTGAGGAGGCTCGAAGCACGGACTTGTAGCGAGCAGATACAAGTGCGGGAGACGGGGAAGGAAAGGGTGGTTTCTAGGGGGTTACATTGTCTGGGGAAGGCGAACACTATTTGCCGGCAAAGTAGATTAGGTCGGTATTGATAGAGACGGAGCGGCGGAAAGAGAGAGGAAGTAATAGACCGATAAGGGTTGAAGGAGGTTGGACGGCCGAGACGAAGGAGGAAGATGGAGGATGGATGAAGGTTGGTTCTCTGAGACGGCCAATATAGGATGGGATATAGCAATAGAGTTTCGCTTACGAGGTATAACCGCGTTAGATGGTGCCCTTTGTTGTATCAGTGCGCCGAGGCGCAATTGCCTTAAGTTCTGATCTCACGAGATGTCAGGATGCTGGATAGCAGTCCGGCAGGACGGATAGTTTTTTCCCTCAAATTTTACGTACATCCGATCCGAACGATACTGCCACAGCGACACTTGTTTACGATGTAACTTCGGAGTCAATCAATTTGTCGTGGGTTGCCGATAGTTTAGCTCAGTTGTATAATTCTTGATATATAGGTGATTTTAGATCAGCCTTAGAGATAAGTCTCTTTCTAACTATGATCCTCTGGTTATTTTTAAGTCAACTTTCCTCAATAAAAATCTGAAGATCTCGAATTTTTTAATTTTTAATAGAAAAAAAAGATTGCTAAATCTTGATACTATTTAAAAGTATTGTCAAGCTAGAAAACAATCACCTATACTACTCGGTTTTCCACGAACTTTTACCCATTGCACTTTCTGGCTCGAATTGCTAAGGATACCCGGTGTATCTATTACATAGGATTGATCTTATCGCTAGAACGTAATCATCGATCTGTTATCCAAACTCGTGCATTGCAACGCCTTCAAGCGCCACGAATCACAGTGTTCCTTAGGGACTGAAAGAGCGCTTTAAACGCGCAACTACATTTTTTCGAATACGTTCCTTTATTGAATCCAACATCGTCGCGAGATCTTCGCCCGCAAATCATTTTATTGCACGCGATGCCGCAACCTGGGCATACAAAAGCGACTCGACGTCCCTCTTCGCGATTGCACGCATATATCCTCCACCGGTCCTTCATACTTCGTTTCCCCGTGACGCTTTTTACATTTTCTCTCTCTCTCTCTCTCTCTCTCTTCTTTTTTTTTATCTTTTTTTTTTGTATTTTTTTATTACGCGGGCTGCACTTAGAATAGGTACATGCCGTCACGTCTGGCGGGTTAATCAGAATTTTTACGGGCTTGCCCGAAACTCGACGCAATCAACATTAAGCTTTACTGCCGGCTACTAATGCGCCGGTATCACGATCCATCAGTACGTGGCCGCATTTTATTATACAGCATCCGCTGCATCCGATTCTGCTTGTATCAAATCGACACGCACCCACCGCCCCTTCACCTCTTTTTCCTCGAATTGATTGCTCGTCGATTATTGATATGGTCATATAACATGATATTTTTGATGATACTTTCGCAAAATGAGGCATGATTACGACATTCATATCGTTTGATTTGAACGTACACATTATCTATTTCTTAAGAGTTTTTTAAAATAATGAATTAATTTAAAATAGTTAATTAGTCAATTAATAATTAAACGATTGCTAATAATAGTGTTTTATCATTCCATATTAAGGATTCTGTCGTTATATTTAAGAGACGATCGCAAGTAACATTTTCCTATAAATGTCAGATTGAAAGGACAGGTCAGGTCTTGATGACCTAATAGTTGGTTACTAATATACGTTGAACTTTATAAATTATTATTAATTTTATTAAAAGAATAGCAATTTTGAATATCTTTTTCGAGATCTATATATAAGAAAAAATAAGAGTCTATTATTATTATAAATTTCACAAGATATGCAATTAAGTGTAACGTATTTGGAAGCAGGAGTTGGTTGTGTTCTATTTTATAATTTAAAGGGCTTCTTGATATAGAAAGATATAAAGCCGGTATGAACCGCTTGATAATTTTATCCTCCTATTTCTGCCGTATAGACATCTTTAGCCCCTTGCACACTAATATTACATCCCCTTTTTGTAGCTTGCATGAAGTTACGCACTTTTTTCTAGAGAATTCAAGCAAAAGAAGCGGCGGTTGGTGGTGCGCGCCGCCCTTCCGTCACGAAGGACTTCGCGAGGAGGGGGGTGTAAGAGAGGGTAAGGGAAGCACGGCGTAGGAGCGTATAATACATAATGTTCTTGCCGCCCCTTAGAATGTACAAGGTTTCGGTTCGTACATCCATCTCCCGCGTCATAAGCACGCCGACTAAAACATCGTCGATTTTTCTTGCATAGGTGTTACGTGTTTTTGATAAATGGCTACCCGCGCGATCTACCCCGTCTACCCCTCCCCATGCCATTCCCTCCTGTCTCTCTCTCAGCCTTCTTCCAACTTCCTTGTTTCCGAAATGCACTAATATGCACTTTCTGCAACCACAATTTGGGAGAACTGATAGGTAATAGCTAATTTAACGAGACATGCGGCGTTCCATCTTGATTTAATTCTTATCCTTCCTTCCGTCCTTTTGAAACGACAAGAGAGACTTTTAGCGTGAAAAAAGAAATAAATGGCACAGGTGTTTCGCGTGAGATTCTTATCTGCAGAGTCAATTTTTCCTCAGCTAAACTTCTCAATTTTCGATATTACATCTTTGGCAAAGCCTCGAATAAAAATTTTGTTCAAGCCCATATATGTAATTGAATCGAATGAATTGAATCGAAAAAGGTGCAGCTTTGCCATCCGTTTTTTAGAAAAATTATGGATCCCTGAAAAGTTTATGTAGAAGAGAAAAGTTTCGTCAAAGACTTCAAATTAAAATATAACGCGTTTAAAATGATATATAAATTTATAATTTACGAGTTATTTGTATAATGCTATTTAATTTCTAATAATTAACAGTTGTGTAATTGGCATTGTGTTAAATTTCTGTTAAAAATGATTTTTAAATTACGGGAAGGAATCTATAACTGAAAAATAATTTCCGCGTCATGTTTTATTTATATTCTCTTTTTATAAATGGAAGGAGGTTTGCGTCAAGATTTATGGAACGTATATCCTTAAACCGGACATATCGTTGCAATTTTGTCGCTTGATTAAAACTGCTTTTTTATTGGTTATCGATTCATACTAATATGCCTATCTTGTGCGTGGCGCGGACGTTATCGATCATTCGCTTTACGACCAATAGAACTTGATGATCACAGCAGGAGACTAACCGGGGCGAGGATATCGGCAGGACGAGCAAATGACTGGCGCAGCACGCGATCTTCTATTACTTACCGCGTTAATTGATATTGATGTGACGTAGTCCCTTTCGAGAAAACTGATCGATATTAATCGCGCCTGTGACGCACCTTACGGTATTAATGAAAAAATAACGCCAGTTAAAGTTTTTCAATATTTCTTTTCATTAATTAACGCATAAGTCTCAATAATATCCCTGTGTAATATCAGTATCATTAATAAGAATGGAAAATGATGTTGAAAATGAAAAAAAAATCAATGTTAAAATAATCAATTATAAATTAATTGATTGAGTGAACTGTCATTAAAGATTGTCATTGAAGATTGACTTGGTTTGCGCAACTGAAGATTCCGACCACACAGTTGAAGTAATTTCTCTCATAAGATTTCATCGATCTCATCGATTCAAACAAGTTCGTAGACGTTCGTAGACGAAAGTGAACAAAAAGAACACGGGGATTGAGAGGCGATGATGTGAAAGGGAACATATCAAGCGCATCGTCTTGTTTCTGGCAATTACTCATGATCGACGTCACGCGCCGAGTGTTTCCAAAGTCCATCGCGACTAATTGCCACGAAGGCGACAGCCACGAAGTAGCCATCGGAAATTTGTCAATTGCAGGTAACTTTGGCTCGTTCCGCGCACAGTTTCCTCACAGATGTTCCTGATAGGCCAAAGTTACGGGCTACGCTTGCGGAGCACCTTACTTCGACGGCCGTTCCCTTGTACACCAATTTCTTTATCCCCCTCATCCTCGCGCGCGCGCGCGCGCGCCACACACACACACACACACACACACACACACACACACACACACACACGCA